TAAAAACACATATTTTAAAAAAATGTTTTCACATGCAACTGGGAAATAAGAAATACAGGAAATGGGGTACAGAAATCTATCCTGCCCTGCAGGAAAATAGAAGGGGAAGGGGATAAGAGAAAGGGGGAAGAGATAGAAGGGAAGGCAGACTAGGGGAAGGGGTATTCAGAATGCATGCCATCTTGGGGTGGGGGGAGGGGTGAGATGGGGTGAAAATTTGGAACTCAAAATCTTGTGGAAGTAAATGTTGAAAACAAAAAAAATTTTTTTAAATTAAAAATAATAAAAAGAAAAAAAAAGAAAATAAAAAAAAAGAAAGAAATGGTGAACCACTCCAGTATCTTTGCCAAGAAAACCCCCAATTGGGTCATGAAGACACTACTAAAACAACTGAACAACAATATAAAATTGCATTGATAGTTGTTAAGAAAGTGGAATTATTTTCTCATTTTCAAAGCTTCTGTCTGATAATTTTAAAGAACAGAAAGGTTTATTTTGCAAGTTAGGCTCTCATAATTTTTTTAAAAAATTCTTACACCAGGTACAGGGCTTAGTAAAGATAAAAACAGTAAGTTGTATATGAAAACTGAAATTCTCTAAAGTCTCAGGTTCCTAATGGCTTCCTAATTTAATGTTCTTCTTATAGCTCTTATGGTTCTTAATAGGATCAGAACCATAAAGCTTGAACTGGTTTTCACTACATGAACAAGTTATTGGAAAATCAAACTCAAGAGGCTGTATTAAATTGTATTAAGTCTTGTTACTAGCAGATTTTAGCAAAATTACCTAGGAATATCTATGATTTGGAATTAGAGAAGCAGAGGCCCCTTCGGAGCTCTCCAACGATGAAACCTACTCCAGAATGTCCAAGAGAAAATATTTCCAGGGACCAGATGACTACATGGGACATCTGGGATTCAAGATGTGCTGATTAAATGGACATCAGGAGTGAGTTACTAGGATACAAAACTTGATGTTAATGATTATCACTGAAGTATTGATTTGACTTTTTGTTTCACAGTGTTTCTGTTTGCTGAGTTTTCTTGATTACCTTAGTGACATGTAAATCTCCCCTCTCAAAATTAATCTATTGTGAACCCTCTAAATATTTCAATCTGTAGCCTTAGTTTATCTACAGGGTCTATTTAACAAGATTTGTATATCATCATTACTGTTCTTAGACTCTGTGTTAGCTGGAGTACTAAGCTATGTAAGAGGATGATTCCCAGTGGTCTTTTCTTGGTATATAATGTTGATAGTAAGCATAAGCACATTAAAAACCTTATAAATTTGGTTTATAGATAAGTGATCCATAGGGAACAATGAATCAAAGTGGGGAATTGAAGGAATTGTGTGAATTGGATGAACCATACTGATTCCATCCTGTGACTCAATTCTTCCCCATGAATCAAAGTAGGGAATTGAAGAATTGTGGGAACTGAGTGAACCATACTGATTCTATCTTGTAACTCAATTCTGGAGATAGCTCACTTCCCTTTCCAGTCAGATTCGAAGATTAACGCAAGGCATTTTTTCACAATTATACATCTCAAGCAACCTTATGTGAAACCTTATGTCTTATGTGAAAACTGGTCTTGTACTGGTCAATTAGTTACTGTTTCCATGTTCCTTTTTTTCCTTAAACATTTTAATTCATAATTTATTTATTTATTTTTAGCATTCTTTTCTTTTTAAATTAAGTTCTAGATTCTCTCCCTCCATTCCATAACCACTGAAAATGCAAGCAATATGATATCAATTATACATGTGAAATCATGGAAGACATATTTCTGTATCACCATATTTCAGGGGAAAAAAGCAAGAAAATAACATGAGAAAATTATACTTTGATTTTCACTCAGAATTCATCAGTTCTCTCTCTAGAGATGGATAGTGTTTTTCATCATGAGTCTTTTGGAATTATCTTGTATCATTACATTGATCAGAGTAGTCAAATCTTTCACAGTTGATCACCATTACAACATTGGTCTATACACAATGATATCCCAATTTTTCTCACTTCACTTTGCATCAGGTCATGCAGGTCTTGCCATATTTTTCTGAAACTACCCCCCTCATCATTTCTTATAGCACAATAGTACTCCATCATATCATATGCCACAACTTGTTCAGCTACTCCCCAACTGATGGGTATTCCCCCCCAATTTCCAACTCTTTGTCATCAAAAGAAGACCTGCTATAAATATTTATGTACATATAGGTACTTATCCTTTTTCTTTGATCTCTTTGGGATACAGACCTAGCAACAGTATTTATTGCTGGGTAATCACAGTTTTGTAGCCATTTGAGCATAGTTCCAAACTGTTCTCCAGAATGGTTGGATCAGTTCACTATTCCACCAGCAGTTCATCAGCACACCTATTTTTTCCTCATCCATCTCCTCCAATATCTGTCATTTCTGATGGGTATGGGGTGGTATGATCATAGGAGAGGTAGAGTCACCGCTCTCCTGGCCTGTGCTCTGGTCTTTACCCGGGAAGGGCCCCTGTTTCCCTGCAGCAACAAGAATTCCTTTGTGTTGGAACTGTGACCAGAGCTCCTGCTCCCTTGTGACTGACCACCACAGCTCCTCTCTGCCCTGAAACTGTGACCTAGAACTGCACATGGGCAACAGAATTTCTAATCAGCTTCAGCTATACCCAGCACCAGCAAAGGGACTCCTATAATCTCTTTCTGACCAGTTGTCTGACCCCCTTACTACCTCTGGGCCAAGAGCTTCCAAAGCTGCTGCTGCAGTGACCGCTGCTGTCTGGACAGGCTCCAACCCGGTGTCACGGACTTCTCCTGCCGATAGCTCAAATTTTCTTAGGCCTGAAAAGTGTCACACTCAGATCTTTTGTTGGCTCTACCATCCCAAAATTTAATTTGAGGTGTTATTTTGAAGTTGTTTGGAGGGAAAATCTAGGAGAGTTCAGCTGGGTGGCTGCTCCTAATCCACCATCCTGACTCCTCTTCCATGTTCTTTTGAGTCAATACAGACACCAAGTGGAGCAGGACAGCTCTTTTTCTGATTTCAGAGAATTGTACCTGTTTGCTCTCCCTCTCCCAACCTTAAAAGTCCCTAATCATTCCTCCCATTAGAAATCAGAATACTTAACCTTATATCGTGGTTTGCATACTGTTAATTGTTTTCTTTTAATGCACAAACATCTATCTTCCCCTGCATTCGGGGTCCAGTGCCAATATGAAGAGGCCTGGTCCCAATTTGTTATGCAGTTGGTATGTGCTGCTTATCAAATTGATATGCTAGGAAGTTTGTACTTGTGTTTCCTCAGTTATTTCAGATTTCACTCATCACAGAAAAGAAGGCCATGGGAGGTTTGAAAGAATACAAGAAGATTAAGAAGAACAACTGCTTTGGAAAATACAATAACAAACTGAGTTTAGAAAGGCAAAGAATGATGGCCTTGCTGTAGTGAGAGATTAGATAACAGAAATTTGTAGTGGACACAATCAGATCATGATTTCCTCTACCTCAGTCCCTCAGGAAGTAAATAGGAATGAAAGAAGTAGAAGACGGTGGCAAATTCAGAAGCAGGGCCAGGAACAGAACATTAAACATATAAGATCATTTTTGTGTGTAGTGAGTAGACTAAGGAATTGAAAGTTTAGGTATTTGTGGGAGCACCAATATGTAATCTTGAAGTCTCTTAGTATGAGAACAGGTGTTGAGAAGAGAAAGAATGAGAAGTAGGCAAAACTGGGGAAAGAAGGAAAATGTCCTTGGGAGTCAGTAGGGAATGGACCAAGGAGGATGGATCTAGACTGAGTGATTGATTTGAATAATGAATACACAAAGGAGGAGAGACTGCTAAGTAATGGTAGTACAAGGAGAGTCTGGAAAGTCAGGAAGCAAGGAATATTTTGACTGCATATCACTGTGGTACCTAACAAAAATGGAGTATTATTATTATTACAGAGAAAATATAGGCAAAAATTCCAATAACTAGTGAGAAATTATGTGTACTTTAATCCCTGCAGGTTTTTTGAGGTTGTTGTGGAATGACAGAAAAAAAATTAAGTACCCATTTTAACATCACTGATTATTCTCATATTACATATTTTTAACAGAACAGAAAAAGCAACATTCAAGGGAAATGCATCACAGTAACTTATTTATTAAGCAAGTAAATTTTGTCAGATTGCCTGGCAAACAAATTGTTAAAAAAGTAAAAGAAAATTGCTGCATGGTCTAATTTTTCCCCTTATTGTTTCAGCATTTTCTTTGTTTTGAAGAGTTGCTTACTACTGCAAAGTAAATTATCTGCCTCCCTCAAATACAACACACAGTTTGCAAAGATCAGTATTATTCTTTAAAAAAAAACAAATCCTGCCACTATTAAGGAAAGCAAAATGAAAACACTTTTAGACAATACGTCCTCTTCAAATTCTCAGTATCTCATATACTTTTTGCTCCTCTCCAAACACTAATGTTGTAAAAAGGATTATCTCCTTTGCTCTATTGTAACTTATTATTTATGAGTTAAGTTTAGGGCTATCTATGTACAGTTTTATTCTCCATCTTAAAACATTCCTTTAATAATTTTTAATGTCTGAAAAATTATTTATGATAAATATCATTCCCTTGGTCAATATATATAAAAAGAGTATTGGTAGCAAATGGATTTCTGACATATCAAATTTTCTTGGCTAACTAGGGTCAGAATTAGTATACAAAATTATTATTCCTCCACTAATATTCTCTCATTTACTTCAAAAATTAAAAACAATTGGTATATTTCCAGACAGATGGCAACTGTGCTTGGCACATGGTGAGGACCCAACACCTTTCATTCATTCATTCATTCATTCATTCATTCATTTTATCTCTTTGTATTCCTCAATACCCCAACCCTCCAAAATACCTAAAACAGTACCTTCAACATAGTAGACACACAATATATTTCTGAATGAATTAATCAAATGCCAGAAAACTCCAATGGAGCTCTTCCATTTCATTGAAAGTAGAAAAAATTTACCTGCAACTGTGAGCTTGGCTGTTCTGCTTACAATGGTTCCAAGGCTTTCCACAGTGGCCACACATTGATAATATCCTTCATCAGGCTTATTGTGTTTGGAATGCACAACACTGTTAATTAACAAAGATCCATCAGACAGGAGCTGACGCCGATCATCTGACACCAAGTTCAAAAAAGTTCCATCTTTTTTCCATTCAATTTTTGGGGAAGGTTCTGAATATGCTGAGCAGTTTAGAATAACAGAAGATCCTCGAACTGAAAGGGTATCCACTGGTTCCATGACAAAATAAAAGGGAGTAAACGTTCTCACACTGGCCCCTGTGTAAACAGAAATGGGGAGAGAGAAAAAGTTCAGAAATTTTCATCTAATTTCTGTAAGGGGTTATAAAGTCAATTAACTACATACTTTTAAAATTTTTCCACTAGACTAAAAAACATATTTAAAAGTCACATAAAACATACAATACAGAAAAGTGCAGTTTCCCTACGTTCAAGAAGTGGGATCAAATATAAACTGCTGTGGGTGGCATTTAAAACTCTTTCAAGTCTGTTTACAAACACTCTCCTCCATGGGTTCTGTGGCCCAGCCATTCAGGTCCTACTTGCTGTAAGCATGCACACGTGGCCTACCATCTCTGTGCCTCAGCACTGACTGTCTCTTGTGCCTAGCATGCTCCATCTCCTCACCACCTTTTGAGACCCTTGGTTTCCTTGAAGACTAAGTTCAAAGGATACCTTCTCTCTGATAACTCTTCTAGTCCAGCCAGTTGCTAGCATCTTACCCTCTAAGGTTACTTTCAACTAGGACATATATATCTGTTCTCAGAGCCAACCCAGCTCAGCAACTTGCTGAACTCAGTGCAGAAGGACAGTGATCAGACTTTGCCCTGGATCACAAAACTTTGGGAGCACTGAAGCATTACAGGTCCCCAGTCAGAGATATGTTGGATGTCCTGAAAAAACATAATGTTTAAAATCCCAAGAAAGCAGCAGAAGGTCCCAAGAAGACAAAAGCTTCAGCTCAGACCTTCCTCCCAGAAGTGTACAGAGTAAGGCCCTAACATAAAGCTAAAAGTCAGGAAGTAAACTGGAATCATGAGCCAACAATACTAATAATAATAATAATAATTCCACCATAAAAAGCCTTTATGGTAAATTGGAAACTCAAGACAGAAGTAGGGAATGACTAAAAAATATCTATAAGCAACATTTCAAAGAAATTTGCAACTTCTCATTATTCCTGAGATAAAGCATAATTTAAAAAAAGAGCTAAAAATGATTTTAAAACCAAATTGGGCGGGGGGGGTGGAAATGAGAAAAGAAATGAGTGTTATGGAAGGCACAGAAAGAGAAAAGCTTATAATGAGACGTACAAAACCTAACTCAAGAAAAAAATTTCCTGAAAATTATAATTGTTCAAATAGAAGCTAGTGACTCCATGAGACATCAAGAAATCTTAAAACAAAGTGAAAAGACAAAAAAGAAAAAAAATATGTAAGATATCTCATAGCAAAACTGACCTAAAAAAAACCAGAAAACTCAGAAGCTTATGGAAGTGAATGTTGAAAACTAAAAATAAATTAATTTTTAAAAAAACAGAAAATTTAAGAATCATTGGACTACCTGAAAACCACAACCAAAAAAATAACCTAGACATCCTATTGCAAAAAAAAAAAAAAAAATTCCCAGGACTCTTAGAACCAAAGGACAAAGCAGACATAGAAAGAATCAACCAGTTACCTAAAAAAAATCTCCACATGAAAACTCACAGGAAAATTATCACCAAAACCCACAACTTCCAGGTCAAAGAAAAAGTACTACAAGCAAACATAAAGGAATTCAAATACCAAGGAGCCAGAGGCAGGATCATACAAGATTTAATAGCCTCCACTAAAAAGGAGTGGAGAATTTGGAATATGATATTTAAGAATGGAAAGGATATAGACTTACAGCCAATAGCCTAGCCAGCAAAAGTGAGTATAATACTGTGAGGGAATAAATGAAATGGAAAACTTCCAAGCATTCCTAATGAAAAGACTAAAATTAGGTAAAAACTTGAAAATACAAACACAAAGGTCAAGAAAAGCATAAAAAGGTAAACATAAATGAGCAATCATAACGTAATAAAAAAGGACAAACTACTGACATTATAATATGGGGAGATGATAATACTCTCAGAACTTATCATCAGAGATTATAAAGGGAGTATAACTGCGTAAAAAGTTTGGGAATCAGTTCTGTTAAGTTTTGATTATCCCAAAATTAGAAGGAAAGGGAGGGAAGAAATATACTGGGTTGGGGGAAGAGAAGAGAAAGGAAGAATGCAGAAAATTATCTTATCATTGGTGTACCCAAGTAGAATGTGCCCTCCACAGGGAGGGGTGGGGAGAAACAGGTAACCTCCTCATTTATTTATCTAAATTTAAACCTCCTCATAGTAACTGGCCAAAGGGGGGAAGAACACACTTGTGCACACACATGAGCATATATACACACACAGAGTTGGGTACATTTCACCCAACAAAAGAAACAAAGAGGAAAGGAGAGAATAAGGGAAAACAGATTAAGGGAGGGATTAGTTATAATCAGAAGAAACTCTTAAAGAAGGAGAAACAAAGAGAAAGAAGAGCGTAACAGAATAGTAGGGAAATATACAATTAACAATCATAACTGTGAATCTAAATGAGATAAATTGACCCATAAAACAAGAGAGAATGAATCAGAAACCAGTCTATAAGAAACACACTTGAAACAAAAAGATCCACACAAAATTTAAAATAAAGGGTAGGAGAACCTATTGTTTCAGGTAAAGTTAAAAAAAGGCAGGGATAGCGACCATGATCTTACAAAAAAGAAAAAAATAACAGTAAAAATAGGCCTAATTAAAAGAGAGAAACAGGAAAACTACATTTTATCAAGCTACATTTTATCGAAAGGTAGAGCAGAAAATGAATTAATATAATTTCTTTAAAAAAAAATGAGCCATATGACACACTATCAAAATTCTTAAGGAAAAGGAAGTAATAAATGAAGTCACAGGGAGAAATAGACAGCAAAACTATAATAGTGGACAACCTCAATGTATCCTTCTCAGACCCAGATAAATGTAACCAAAAAATAAATGAGAATATTGAAGGACCTGAATAGAAATTAGGAAATCTAGATAAGATAGATCTCTTGGTTACTGAAGAGGAATAGAAGTCAATATATTTATTTCTCATGTGTGCATGGCACTTTCACAAAATAGCATGATGTACTAGAGTATGAAAATCTTGCCCAAAAAAGAGAAAATCAGAAATATTAAATGCATTTATTATAATGCAATAAAAATTATAATCCAATAGCCTCTTCAGCAAAGAGTTAAAGATAAGAACCTATCCTAGAAAAGAAATGGTTCAAGCCATAAATGAGTTTTCAAAGGAAAACAAAACAAAAGAAAGAAATCAGATAGTTTTACAAGACCAGAAGAGGAAGAATTTACGACCAAACAAGCACTAGAGAGGTTCATAGGAGGAATAATGGACAATTTTGATGACAGGTTCTATCAAAATTTTAAAAAATAATTAATTCCAATACTACATAAACTGTTTAAAAAAAAGAGAAAGAGAGAGAAAGAGAGAGAGAGAGAGAGATAAAAGAAGTAGTCCAGTCAAATTTCTTCAATGGCACTGTGGAGGGTGAAAGATGAAATGAATGAGGAAACAAAGGTTCAAGGTTCTGAGCATATATAGATTTATTAAACAATGCATGTCAATTGCTCAACAAATCAGGACCAGACCCCTTCAGCTGTACCACTGGACCCTGCATAGAGGAGACAGATTTTTATACATTAAAAACAATTAATTACATGAGAACAAATAATTAAAAGAAAACAATTTATCAGGATGCAAAATTAGGTAATCCAATTTCTAACTGGAAGAAAGATTAAGGACTTTCCTGGTTGGGATGGGGAGAGTGAACAAGTATGATTCCCTGACATTAGAAAAAGAGGCGTTCCACTCTCAAGTGTCTATACACAATCAAAGGAACATGGAAACAATAACTGATTGATCTGTGCAGGGCCAGTTTTCAGATAAGATACATGGATTGCCTGAGATGTATAACTGTGAGAAAATACTTTGCATCAGTCTTTGGATCTGAGTAGGTTTCTAGTCAGCATAAGCCAGTCCTGAGTTAAGGGTCTTTAAGCTGCAGGTAGAGATGGCCCATCTTCTGAGCCATGCTGGGCTAGGTTCAAACAATGGAATAATAAGGTCGTCTCACAATTCCCACAATTGAATAAGTTTCCTCACAAGACAGAAATTAGACTAAATCCACAATTGAACAGAAAGAGAAGTGAGCTAGCTCCAGAACTAAATGACAAGATGCTGTTCCAATCCCCTCACCACAAATATGGTCTTGATTCTTAAAATAGGGAGATCCAAAACAGAAAGAAAACTGTAGACCAATATCCCTAAGGAATGATAATGCAAAAATTTTAAACAAATATTAGCAAGAAGACTATAGGAGCCCATCACAAAGATACACACTAAATAACTAGGTTGGATTTATACCAGGAATGTGGGGCTAATCCAATTTTAGAAAAACTATAAACATAAATGACAGTATTAATAGCAAAAACAACAAAAATCATATGATTATATCATAGATGCAAAAAAGCTTTTGAAAAGATACACTGTTCATTTTAGTAAAAAATACTAGAAAACATAAGAATGTGAGCTTTCCTTAATATAAATAATTTACCTACCCAAAACCAAGAGCCTGTTCTATGTGCAATAGGGATAAACTAGAGGCCTTTCCAATAAGATCAGGAAAAGCAAGGATGTTCATCATTATATTATTAATACAGTGCTAGAAATGCTAGCTATAGCAATAAAACAAAAAAAAATAAATTTAGGGAATAAGTACAGGCAAAGAGGAAACAAATTATTTTTGCAAATGATATTATAATTTACTTAGAGAACCCTAGAGTAAACTAAAAACTATCTAGAACAACTAACAACTTCAACAAAGTTAAAAGATATAAAAATAAACTCAAATAAATCATTAGTACTTCAGTATCTTAGTAACAAAATCCACCAGGGGGAGGCAGAAAGAGAAATCCATTTAAAATAATTATAGATAGCATAAAATCTACTTGCTAATAAAGTCTACTTGCCATCACACACATAGGAACTATAAAAACACAATGACAAAACGCTCTTTACACAAAATAAGACCTCTAAATAATTGGAGAAACATTAGTTGTTCTTGAGTCGGCTGATCCAATATAATAAAAATGATAACACTACCTAAATTAATTTACTCATTCAATACCA